CAGAAAGGAGGAATAATTTTTTATCTGTATTATACAATATGTCCTTTCCAATCAGTGTTGTATAATCTACTACTATCATCAATCTTTCTGGTCTTCTTCTTAAGGTTATCCGTATATCTTTGCGTAACACGATTACATCTTTAAAGGTAATTAGTGCAATGCGATTATGCCTATCATATCTTTTTCTGTTCTTCTCTCTCTCTTGTGTGCGCGTATATAAAGCGTGTACTTTGTGTTGTAATGTAGAACTGGAAGAACTGGAACGATGTAGAACGTTAACATCATATACACGAAGAATAGCAGTAACACTATTCTTCCAGTTTCTCTTTGTGATCACAAATAAAATAAAAGCTGCAGCAGTAACAAATTAACTATCCATCTTATAACATCAATGCATATATTATTATTAAAATAATTTGTTACAATGACATTTAATGCGTGGCCTCTGGCTAAGAAAAAAAATAGAAGAAAAAGTGTTTCCTTATTGACTTTCTTGTAAAAATAATGTGGGACCCATCCGGTGGGTCCCATCGCGTCGAATGTGTTAAAACGATCGGTGAAAGCGAAACTTCTTGTTTGGAAAGCAAAAATGATTTTGTTACCCGAACAGCATATACCTTCATACTTTCGCATACAGAAACACAGTGCCTTATGCTTCTATCGAAATAGTATTCTTTTATTTCAAGTCAAAGTAAAAAAAAACAAGAGGCACAATCATGAAATGAATATGAAGAAAATAGTTCAAATTACCATACTGAATAGAAAATTCAACCAAGCTGAGTCTCTTCTTGCCAAACATTAATACTTATCAATCATATACCTTCAGTTACTAGGTCCAAAATGTTTACTACTAATGTTAAAAGCATCACGAACATTTTCATATGTGGCTATAAATGGATATGGAACATGATTTGCATCATCATTCATCTTCTGCATAAGTTCCGGTACAAAGTAATGTAGTTCTCTTGGTGTCTGTATTCGATCAACAATTTCAGCTATTCCTTCATTTGTGTAATTCACTAGTGTCTTGAAATCTTCGAATGATCGACAACGAGAATATGAAGCTTTTTTATTTAATTCTTGAAGAACATAATCAGCATAATTCATTAATGATTTTGTGTTCCACGTTAGTGTATATGTTGGAAATTTATCAGGTCGTGCTATAGCATCAAGTATATTAATGTCATCTCTTTTCGGATAAAATAATGATAAATAAAAATAATTAGCCATAGTTAATGCAAGAATGTTTTGTGAGACAGAAGAGCGATAAAATGATTCAAATGATATTTTATTTTCTTCTTTATTTGAACTCAAATATTGATTTTCATCAATACCATCAACAATAAATACAATTACTTTTTCCATATATTTTGTAAAAAATGATGAGAAATCTGTTAAATCTCTTAAAACATGACCAAACATTGTTTTCTGCATTGACTGATATTCAAAGCCTTCACCTTGAATAATGGCTAATAATAAATGAAGTTTTTCAACATTTTGATTTAGAACACTAAATTCATTTAAGTCATTTTTAAGATGGGTTAGTAGTGGTTTCGCTTGAAATTCATTTCTTTCTTTAACTTGTACTTCAGCTTTGCTTGCTATATATAATGACCACTTGTTTTTTCCAAGAAAACCATTTACAAAATCTTCTAATTGGATAATACTATCTCCATTATAGTAATAACATATGATAGTTACCAAATGAATTTTTCTTTCGATTGCTATATTACTAAACTTCATTTGTTTTTGTGAATAGTTCTCAATAACTTTTGTTACTAAAATAGATAACAATAACTGAGCAAATTCATTGTCGGAACAGTCTATTAAACAACTAGAATTCTGACAAGATTGTGAATTCAATTTTCTTTTATTGGTAAATCGTTTTACATAATCAGTGATTTCTTTGTTTAATATTAAGATTTTCAAATAACGATCAGAACTCAAAGCTTTAAAATATTGACATCTTAATAATGTTTTGCCAGTTCCATATGGAGCCAATGTTATGAAAGAACTTGCTGACTTATCTGGTGTTAATACTTTTTGAGGTAACGCCGGCGTAAAGATAATGCTAGCAGCACAATCATCAGCCGTTTGCTTTGAAAAATGATTTTGCAAATGCTTGATACCATAAAAAGCATTGAAATCTCTATTTTCAGCTTTGCTCATATCACATGATGCTGGTGGTCCAGAAAAATAATAGGCGATGAACACAACTATTAATGAAATGAAGCTGATCAATGCACATATCGTCGCATTCTCGTTGAACGCCATTGACACCTTTCTGATTTGGTTTATCGTATTTCTATGGTAAATTGTACCTATAATGAACAGTTAAAAATTACTTCATCTTCTTTCTGGACCAACACTCACGAATACTTGAAACTTTTATACAATCTTATAAAAATAACAAAAAATTTTTGAACTTTTCTTGAACAGATTTTTTTTGCTGGAATAAATGTACTTATCTTATCACCGTACTTCATAATTTTGTATGAAATAGAACTTTATATAGAACAAGCGAATCATAAAGTTGCTTGATCATTTGGCTTTAGTTTGTGAATGATTGAGACATTACAGAGAAGCGACTAGCTCTGCTCACACAAGTTACGCTCGTCTGTGTGACTCGCTTGATCCTCGACTGTATATTCGACCGTTTGATGTTTTATATTGTTTTACAGTGTTCCAAAACAACTAGTATCCAACGTGTCAAAAGAATGGATGGGTGTGTGTGCGTTGATATTAGCGTCAATCTCGTTGTGACAATGGTATGCGGTCCGAATGAACATTTTTGTCATAAATACATCTAATCAAATTGATATTCCCACATTGATACTCAACGATAGTCTAAGGAACTACACTATGGCGGCGATATTCACACGCACTCAAAAAACAGATTATATTCAATTTTCTGAGAGGCTACGACGCAAAACGAATTCACGACACTATTGTGAAACAGCGCAATACTCCTTGAAATTTCTACTAAAAATTCGTTCGCTTACTAAAACACCAGCCGACAATATTTTTTACTGGGATATGCGCTACAAAAATACGGGTTCAATTGAACTCCTAGCTTAAAATTAATCGTACTAGATCTAGTCTTCAATCTAACTGCCATACTTGAAAGAAGCTCCTACTCAAAATAACCGTCAGATTAGATAGGTAATTTGAATATATCCGTATACATTTCGACATTTGAATGAGTACAGGCAAGAACACATATCAGCAGAAAAACTTTCGTTTATTTCATTTATATCTACTTCTGATACCACGAATATAAGACTTCTGAATGATGTTTTTCGCCAAATGTAGTATTAAAATATTGTGCACATGCAGAAAAAAGCATTCTCACACTTTATTTCAAAATATCTCTCAGTTCTTACCAACGGCTAGTCATTATTCAAACCGATTAGGTCTAGACTGTTGATGTTTGTTTGATGAATACAAACAACCTGAAGGGTGTCTTCAAGGGACTTTTTAGTGTACCGGCTAGTCGTTTGTCGGAAACCCTTCCAGGCACTACTCACGGCTAGCCACTGCTATGTTTTATTCTATTTTTCCATAAGGTCATTCTTTTTTATTTAGACTTCACCTAATCTCAAATTCGACTTAATTTGAAAAATTATTAAACCTGTAGCACGAAAATTCTCGAAGGCAATTTCTAAACCAAAGCATCATTGTGAACTATTTCTAATTTCTTCAAATTCATTCTGTAACTGTAAAATCGGAGTTTTATTGAAATTTCTCATTAAGGAAATATTAGTGCAGCATTCTCAAAAAAAATCTAGCTTTTAAACTTATTTTTCGTGAGCAAAATCTGCAGAATGGTTGCAATATGAACCATTAGTCATTCGTTTTACATAAGCGCACTTATACAAACAGTTTGTTTATTGTTTATTTAACCTAAAAGACATGGCATCGTTTTTATACATCAATTTTTTCTTACTTTCTTCGAGTCATCGCAACTGGAAATTTCACCAGTTGGAGACACTTCAAACATACGCAAGGTTCAAAAATCTTTTTTTTATAATAATAATCATAATAATAAATAACAATTTATTGGGATATCCAGTTTAAGACCCGATCCCATCCGTGGATAGGTTTCCTCAGAGCATAGATATAACTACATGAAAGAAGTGGAAGAAATACACTTTCAAAATCAGTTCTATTGGAAAATTGTTAGAATATCTAGCCAATTTTTATCCATTTTCTCTATTATTTCAAAAGACAACGGTGTCTTTCTTTGAACATAGATGACTTTTATTATGCCTTTAAAAAGTGCCGACATACGAAGATTTCACATGCGAAGCACCTCTTCCTGCAATCCCAATAATATTTTTATAACAAATATGTAAGACTTCAAGGCACGAATCATTTCGATCGTTTAGATTTGTGAAGAGTATTGTCGATGTGTTCCTAATCTGCTTGTTTTCGCAATTTTTCAAGACACTCTAATAGTTACCTATGCACAAAAAATAGCTCCGGTGTCTGTCAGAATTATAGAGAGCACGGGTACAAATCACCAAGGTTTTCTTATAACTACCAAATAATCAGAACCGGTTTCAGTAGCATATTAACTGCTATCCTTTTCAATAAACTCGCGAATAGCAGCAAACGGTCCGTATTCACGA